ATGGCACGGTTTTGTAGACCAATAAACACTATTTCAAATTAAAACAACAATTTAAAAAATCCCGTTTAATTTAGTTTAGAAAATCTAATTTTATTAATTTACCAAATTTCCTTTACGATCGTTAACTAAATGCAAGTATTGGTAGAAATGTGACGAGACATTTTTCCATGGTTAATAATTGTTGGCTGAGGTGACATAACTTAATTATTAAATCCCAATCATTAATACCGCAACTTTGAGGTGTAATAAAACCGGCGATCATTTGAAATACACGCAAATCCACGGGTTTTACGCCATTTCTATGGTTTACGTAATTTATTAGTTGCGATGCCATACAAAACATTGTCATTAAAACCATAATCAAATTATCTACGTATCCCGTTCCAGCAAAATAATCCAGGTTACCCAATATTAAATGATACACCCTGGGTATTTTTAAGTCACTAATGTAGACGTAGATTGGTATCGAATTTTTAATTAACAATGTAATCAATACAATAAATATTACAATTGGGTTTAATAAAAAATATCTGTTAATTGACATATATTGTGAGTTATATAATGATAGACCAATTCGGTAGAGATGACTGTCGGCACCCGTGACCAGTATGTCCTGTGGTATGGGTTTATTAAAATTAATTACCATATTTATATTTTTAATAAATTAATTGCGAGATAAATAATTTTAGTTTCTATTATTACAATATTTAGGAAAAAATTCAGTCAATTTTTGTCATTAATTAATAATTTTTATAGTTATTATAATCATGACCATGACAGGTACTGTATATGAGAAAATATTATAATTTATGCGTACAAACTGTGTACAAACTATGTTGATGTATTTAAATTGAAGTTTTTGTAATTGTTATATTACGATATTTATATTATTATAAGTATTGATGCAAAATAAGTAATAAAATTTAATGATTATTTATTGTAAGCAATATATTTTATTTCACAATTATGCTTTATTATATTGTTAATAGTTAATTTAATGTATTTGTTATTTTATAAATGTTCTAATATGTTTTGTCAAAACTTGTTTTTAAAAAACTAATAATTTTGAAATTTAATAAGAACAATTAGTAGGACAAAATTATTATTATGCTGTTTTAGTTTAATGAACCAAGTTAATAGTTTTGTTATGTAAGTTCTAGACAAATTAACTCGGTTTATTAGTCGTAAAATAAGCTAAATATTTAAATAAAATAACAATTAAAATACCTAAATGATATTTTTGATTATAATGAATTTGATAGTTTGACAAATTGTAAGAATTTAAAAAATATTATCATTTGTTTTATGTAAATCCTTTTACGTAAGACCAACCACTGCTGTGATAAACATTTATTAATCATGATAATTATTTTTATATTAAATGAAAATACATGTATGATAAAACAAAATAAATTTGAACATCACAATGAATTTGAAAATAATTACATTACTATAAGTACTTTAACGCAAAATGATTATCAATAACTAGACATTTTTACTCAAAGGTAACTAACTAATTAAACTTGATAATAATTACCACAATGCCCATAATGCAATTATACATAACACTACCGGCCCGTCGGGTGCCGCAAGACTTTCCCCAAAAGATAACTGTTGTGTTAAGTCAAGTGATAGCCAATACTCCGCCAAATGCGATGAACATTCACGTCATGACTGACCAAAACTTTTATACCGGTAAAAATAGAGTCTATAATTAATTTGTTGTTACTTTTATTTTGAACCTGATCATTTCTACAGGCAATGATCCGGAGCGCACTAAGCATAGCGGTTACGCTATGCTGTACGCAATGGCTACCGGCAGTCCCGATGATAACCGGCGTATTATTACCGCGTTGTACGCACTCGTCAAACAGGAGTTGGGTATCGACCAGAAACATTTCTTTGTGCTTATTAATGATGTCGATCCAAATATGTGCGGCTACAAAGGCAAATTGTTGGCCGACATGCTTAAGTCGATTGTAGTAGATTAATTATGTGTTTTTATATTGATAAATTACTGTAATTTGTTGTTAAATTAATTTTAACCGTGTTACAGTTATCGGACAAATAGTGTATAATTGTAATTGTAATTAAGATATTCTACTTCAATAAATATTGATTAAATGACACTTTGTGACGTATCAATTATTATGCATAATAAATTTTAATTAATAGTATTAATAAATAGTATGTTTAACATTATTTGTAAATGAATTGTATTTTTTAAAATTATTTCTTAAATTAAATAAATTAATAATAAAATTGTGACTAAAAGTTAATTATATTATTAATTATTATATCAATATAAACCGTGTAGCATAGAAATTTGTTGCATAGTTTACTAGTCTTAAATTATTTGTATAAATTTTATTTTATTTGTGTTTACACAAAACTTATTTAAAATAATAAGCTAAATTGTTGATTAAATTAGTTCTATCTATAAATTTAGCACGAACAAAATACGCAGACAAAAATGTTTACCATTTTAATCTTTGTAATAAGTCATTTTATAAAATTAATAATACCAGTATATTGTATACAACTCAAGCAATTCAAAGATTGAGATAAATTGCACTAAAATAGTGCGATTATGAGTTCGCATTTAGTAATTGACAAAATAATGTACTAAAATCTAATGCATCTAAAAAATAATTCTGGACTAAAAAACGACCTTCATAAGTTAAATAACATACAATTTTGTAAAACATATAAAATGGGAATAAAATTATTGAACTAATTTAAGAAATAATTATAGTTTATAATTATACATTTATATAAATAATATATAATTATTATAAACATAAATAAATCACCATGCCATTTCTACATCTCTACACAACACTACCGGCCCATCGGGTGCCGCAAGACTTTTCTCAAAAGACTGGTGTATTGTTAAGTCAATTGTTGGGCAAACCGGCGGAGATAATCAACATTCACGTAATTACCGAACAAAACATTTACCAAGGTAATTATAATTTATATAATTATACTAGTAAACCTTTTAAATAACCATGGTGATATGTTGTAGGCACTGATCCGGATCGTCTAAAGCCTAACGGGTATGCAGTGATCCGTTCAGTCGGTACCGGCAGTCCCGATGATATCAAGCGCACAATAGCCGAGTTGACGGCACACGTGAAACAGACGTTGGGTATCGACGAGAAACAGTTTTTTGTGTTTATCATTGATGTTGATCCTAACCTTGTTGGTAAACATGGAAAAGTATTGGCCGACTTGTTGATTTGCCCAAGTAAAGGTTATTGACATGATTTGCGAGAGGGGCCAGTGAAGGGCCACTCTATTGTAATGGACTAATGTAAAGTCTATGGGTGCATGTAGATAAAGTCTACTTTTGGCAAGTCATGGTTATTGAGATTGATGAAATATAAAGTACTGTATTTACTTAAAGTACTTTATTTTTATTATTAAAGTTATTATTGATAATGTTTTAAAATTTTAATTCCAATGTAAATTTTATATTCTATATAAATGAGATATTTATAATAAATATTAATTTTTAAATAATTTTGCAAATTTTATATTTTTAATTTTATTAAAGTTTTAAGTTGACAAAGAAAAGTATTATATTCCTAGTTTTGTTAAAGTGGTTATTTTTCAAATAGTTCATTTGTAATTCTACCAATCTCAGCAAAATATAAATCATTAAAGAAATTAATTAATTAAATGTGAAACAGGTCGAGCAAGAGCACCTGCTGCCTAAACTATTAAGATAAAAATTAATTTTTGTTTAATTTAGTCGATTTTCATATGAGTATTTAAATTAAAAAATTTTGATTGATCTGTTAACTAGTAACAAACTTATTGTGTTTGTAATTGCAATTACTAATTATTATTTTATATTATGTAAGTTAACCATTTATAAATAAAACTATTTATAATTAGAATTGCATTAATTAAACAATCTGAAAAACTTTGTTTATGTTTTGTAAAACAGTTGTTTAACAAAATTATTTTATAAACTTACAATCTATTGAATGATATATTTATGTATGATAATTATCGCGTAAATTACTTGGACCTACTGTAAATGTACCAACGCCTTTAAATTAATATTATAGTTATCAGTTTAATGAGATAATTTATAAATTACAAGTTAGCCAATTTACATTATAGTATTTTTAACTATAAGGATTTAATGTAAAATTATTTATGACAATTGACTAAATTGTTTTATAATTAATTGTTTTATTATTTTGTAAATTATGCTAATTT